TTTCTCGTCTATTTTCAGGGAGAAAAAGTGCGTGTTATACGCCGATAAATACAGTATATATACGTATTATATATAGGTATAATATATGTATATATATCTCACATATATATATATGTATATATATATATACATTTTTCTTAAATTTATTAATAGTGATGTCCCGAACGGTTCGCTGCGGATGGCGAACATATGCGCTGTTCGGTCCGCCCCCTATGTCATCATTGAGTAAACTTTGATCCTGTACCTCACAATCAGCAGACACATTCCAGCCAATCAGCAGCAGACCCTCCTTCCCAGACCCTCCCACCTCCTCGGGACATCAATATGTACTAACTATATTTTATTTTTTACTTTTAAAAAGTTATTTTTACTTTTCCACCAGCAGGGGGACTGCCTGTCAATTCAGGCAGACCCCCTGCTGGCAGCACTATGGACACCTATGGGTTCTTATTAGCCCAGGACATGCAGGGTACATCCGCGGTCCTTAAGGACCGTTTTTTTGTCGGACGTACCCTGCACGTCCCAGGTCGGGAAGGGGCTAAACTACAATAATTGTGTTTATAAATCACTCCTGCCAATCACTTCATGTGGCGAGGTCAAACCCTGCCAGCAACCCTGTCAAGCGCAGCCTTCAGCTTGGTTCATGCCGTAGGCTGTGTGCAGGGGGCAGGGATTATGAATCATATCATATCCCTGCTCCCTGTGTACCACACAATGCAGCATCTTAATGATGGGGCTGGGCTGCCGGATTAGGACTCCACAGAGACAGACAGCTTGCTTCCCCGATACCTGATTGCACAAGGCTGAGATGGAAGTATTAATTGTCTCTGCATGTATGACTGTATGTCTGAGTCAATATTAGGGATGTGCATGGGAAAAATATTCGGTTCGGCATTCAGAAATTCGGGACTTCGGGTCGGTTCGGAACTTCGACACTTCGGCACTTCTGATCTTCGGAACTTTAGGGGTAGGGGTAGAGTTAGGGGTAGGGTTATGGTAGGGTTAGGGGTAGGGTTGGGTTAGGAATAGGGTTAGGGTTACCCTAACCCTAACCCTACCCCAACCACTAACCCAACCTCTAACCTTACCCCAACCACTAACCCTTCCCCAACCTCTAAACCTAACCCTACCCCTACTCCAACACCTAACCCTTCCCCAACCACTAACCCTACCCAACCCCTAACCCTACCCCAACCAGTAACCCTACCCCAACCCCTAACCTCAACCCTCTCCTGTTTTGCCACTTTTTAGAAATCCGAAGCACTTTGGCAATTTTGAAATTCGGCACTTTTGCAATTCGGTTCGGTTTTCCGAAATTCTGCACTTCGGAAATTAGGCACTTCGGCAATTTGGCTTGGTTTGGCATTCCGAAATTCGGCACTTCGAAAATTCGGCAATATGGCACTTCAGACATTCGGAAGTATTCGAATGTCCGAATTTCTGAAATTCGTCTAAATTTGCATTGAGAACGAAACAAATTGGACATGTCTAGTCAATATGTTTGTGTAGGACTGTGTATGACATTGTCTGTATGTCTGTGTATGTATATCTTTGTATGACAGTGTCTCTTTTACAGTGTGTGTGTATGATTATGTCTTTGTATGACTGTCTGTGTCTTTATGACTGTGTATGTATGTCACTATATGACTGTATGTCTGTGTATGTTTTACAGTGTACCATGTGTTGACTGTATGCCTGTATTACTGTGCTTGTTTGAGTGTGTGTCGTTAATGACTGTGTGTCTGTATATATTTGTGACAGTGTGTCTGAATAATTATGCCTGTATGGTTGTGTGTCTCTATGTTTGTGTATTTGCACATGTATGTCTTTTTGCCTGTTTATCTATATCTGTATGGCTGGGGAGGAAAGAGACACATAAAAGTACTTGGGTAAGACACAGAAAATGGAGTGAAGACACAGAAGAGGGGCTGCAGGGTGGGGTGGTGAGGGGGAAGGGACACACAAAGGGGCTGGGTGGAGAAAGGGACACACAAAGGGGCTGGGGACAGAAAGAGATACACAACGGGGCTGGGCAAAGTAAGAGACACACAAAGGGGACTGTTGGGGAAATAAGAGAGATGCAAAAGGGCTTGGGGGTGCAAGATACACAAACGGAGCTGGGGGAAGTAAGTTCCACAAGTTGGACGAAAGAGCTGGGAGCCGGGACACTATTGGAACACTAATGGAACCTTTGTTTAAGGCAAAGAAAAGGTTTTTTTACTATAACAACAATAAGGATGTGGAATTCTCTGCCTAAAGAAGTGGTTTTATCAGAGTCCATGCATGTTCAAACAGCAACTAGATGCATACTTGCAAAAACAGAATATTCAAGGATATAATTTTTCAATGTAGGGTAATAGCTTCTTGATCCAAGGATAAGTCAGACTGCCATTCTGGGATCAAGAAGGACTTTTTTTCCTAGTTTTTTTGCAAAATTGGAAGTGCTTCAAACTTTTTTTTTTGCCTTCTTTTGGATCAACAGCAAAAAACAAATGTGAGGAAGGCTGACCTTGATGGACGCAAGTCTCTTTTCAGCTATGTAACTATGTAACTATGTAACCTCGATGGGTATGTGCCAAAGCAATGTCTAGCTACCCAAGTACGAAATAGAGTGTGGGATATGATCAGCTGGCACAGCAGAACTAGCTTGATTGGGCTGTGTCTGAGCCAAAGGAGACCAATGGAAAATCCTCACTGTCTACAAATATATAGAGTTATAAATAGTGATGTCCCGAACTGTTCGCCGAACGGTTCACGAACGGTTCGCCACGAACGGTTCGCCACGGACTTATCATTGAGTAAACTTTGACCCTGTACCTCACAGTCGGCAGACACATTCCAGCCAATCAGCAGCAGACCCTCCCACCTCCTGGACAGCTCACTAAGAATGCAGCTTCACAATGGATGCTGTCCAGGAGGTGGGAGGGTCTGCTGCTGATTGGCTGGAATGTGTCTGCTGACTGGGAGGTACAGGGTCAAAGTTTACTCAATGATGAGTCTGCGCCGAACCGTTCGGCAAACAGTTCGGGACATCACTAGTTATAAATCATAAATAGTTGGATTTGACAATGCAAAAATGGAAAATCCTTTATGAAAGGAATAGGATATAAATATTTGTTTCTAGCAATTTTTGATAGTAGGGCTAAAATTTAAACTCGCCCACTAACCATTGGCAAGTGAATAATTACATTTGGCAAGTAGAAATTTATCCCTGGTGAGTTTGCCATGGACTCTCCAGGCTTGTAGTGGGGATTAACTTTAAGTCCTCATTAGTAACATAGGTAACATTAGTAACATGCCTGTAAGATGGATGTAGAGAGAGAATTAAAAATAGTGTCAGATAAATGGGGTCCAGAGAAAGAATGAAGAAGTGGAGATTAGGGATCAACAGAAAAAAAAGCGTAATAGAAAAAGGGATAATGTAGAAATAGGATGAAAACAATATGTGCAGGACGTCTTCAGGTCATTTGTATAAAAACTAGACAGATCCGGTGTGGTTCTCTTGGCCGCCAGGTGCAGGTTGTCCTTCATGCTCGTCACCATTTTAATGCTGCACGTCCTTTAGCTGCCAGGAGCCATGTTGGTACTGTACAAGACTGTAATACGGAGGTCTGTGGAAGACCCCCCGAAACCATGGGATCCTCCATAAACTGCTGGGATTAAACAACAGTTGACAGAGAAGCTGTTCCTTTTGTCAATTTAAGGCTTTACCATAGGCAGACAGCCCAACTTGCAAAAATGTTTCAAGGAGGTGACTTCACCAGCTATGGCAACACCCCTCACCCCCCTCCCCACATACGCGTGTGTTCGTAGCCCCACATACACTGCCTGTAAACAAGTTTGAACACTTTGACACACAGATATATGCACTGGCACATACACACTCCGATACACATTGAGACACAGATACACACATTGAAACACACACTCAGATACACACTGACACTCAGATACACAGATAAACACACTGACACATACACTGGGATACACACTGGCACAAATACAGGGATACATATTGAGACATCAGCATATATACACTCACACACTGACACAAACACTTAGATACACACACACACACACACTGACATACAGATACACACACTCACATACACACTGGCACATATACACAATCTGAAACACACTCAGATAAACACCGACACATATACTTTATACATTATTAAAATAATATCAGGAAGTATTACTTTACTTAGAGGGTAGTGGATGCATGGAATAGCCTTCCAGCTGAAGTGGTAGAGGTTAACACAGTAAAGGAGTTTAAGCATGCGTGGGCTAGGCATAAGGCTATCCTAACTATAAGATAAGGCCAGGGACTAATGAAAGTATTTAGAAAATTGGGCAGACTAGATAGGCTGAATGGTTCTTATCTGCCGTCACATTCTATGTTTCTATGTTTCTCCTGTTAGCTTACCTTTGTGTTCTGGAGGGTGGCTTGCTTGGTGAGGTTGATGGGAGTGAGCATGCAGTAGCGGCTCACTCCAGCCTCTCCTCTGCCCCCATGCTGCCTCCAGCCTCCTTCTCCCTCTGTTCCTCCTGTGCGGCTCTCTGTGGAGCAGGGAGGAAGTGACAGGCTGTCCTCACTTCCTCTCTGCCGGCTGATACTACAGGGGCCCTTTTGATTATTAAAGGTTCGGCACCCGACCGGACCTCGTTTAGTGAGTATGAGGGAAGGGGGCACATATCATGCATAATATCCTGGTAACCAACATACACAATCTGATATATATTGTATGTCATATTGTGTGTGTGATTTCCGGGATAGTAAACATGATATGAGTGTGTCAGGGAGCCACATGCAAAATGCGAGAGTCTCTCGGGACTACCAGGAGACTTGGGATGTCTGAATAAGACAAAGCAGTTCTTACTTATGATATGTTTGGATTGTGTTGGAATTTCATTAGTATTTCATAATTTTATATCTTTACAGAAAAGGGACATAACCACTTTAAATGAGGGTATGGTCAGGCACTAGACTCCAAATTTCATCTTAAAATGTCACCAGCCATAACTGTCTAATTCTTTATTCCCTTTTCCAGTGAGTTTAGCACGAGTTCCTGAAGGAGCCTGCTTGCCAGCCTCCTGCCCACAGACTATGGACCTTGTGAACTATAATGTAAAAGTCTCTGTTTGTGCAATTAGCATTATATGGCTCGGTTACCAAACAACCGCACAAATCAGAGACCACCCTGGAGCTTGTTAACACCTGTTAATAACTTGGAACATTTCTCACCACAGTGTTCTAATTGTTCGTCTGGGTGGCTGCAATTCCTATGGACAACCACGAGGTGGCGGCCATCTTGTTCGCATGAATGCAGGCAGTGGTGTTTGGGCATGAATCTCATGGAACTAAAATCGGACACAGAAACTCACGAACACCGCTGGACTTCCATCATGCCTGTGTTCTGTTCTATAGACTGAGAAGGGCACTGTTCAGTGAAATCATTCATCTGGATGAGGGGAACAAGTTCCAGGGTAAGACTATTGACTCTGTTCAGTAGTTTGTTCGTTTTCAAACTACCAAACTAGACCGACCACATGCCCTGATTCTCTGGAACTGTTTTGGGCATGGGACCATGCCTGCGGTCCTCCCCCTGGGCCCCCACCCCTAAACGACAGATGGGGGCCCTAAAGTAAAATAAGGGGGGACCTATTGTCCTCCCCCCAGCCCCCACCCCTGAGGGGCGGGTGTGGGCCTTAAAGTCCTCCCTCCCGGCCCCCACTCCTGAGCCCCCCCTAAATTAGAATAATGGGGGGACCTATTGTCCTCTCCCCTGGCCGCCACCCCTGAGCGGAGGGTGGGAGATCTAAATAAAAAACTTTTTATAAATCCCTACCTACCCCCCTCACCTTAAAAATAGTGACTAACAATGACTAAGTACCTGTAAAAAAAAAGAAATATAACTTACTATTTAATGTCTTCTTTTTTCTTATAAAGCCTTGCCCCGCCCTGCAATTAGGCTCAGAGCACTCTGCTTGTTTGGTTTAAGCCATCCAATGAGAGTGCTCTGACAGGTAAACGAAGAGACTGACAGGTAAGTCCCTACATTTACCTGTCACAGCACTCTCATTGGTTAGCTTGAAATCCAACCAATCAGAATGCTCTGTGTCATTTTACACAGCGTGGGAAAGTTCTTTGGAATTTTCCCACGCTGTGTAATTTGACTCATAACAACACTCTGGTTGGTTGATTGAAAGTAACCAATCAGAGAGTTATGAGTCAAATCAATACAAGGAACGCACACTCGGATAACCAACTGGAAACCACGACAGGGCACTGAGAAATCGACCAACTAGATTTAAATAGCTAAAGGCATTTCCTAATAGGATGTAGGGAAGCATGTGATCAAGCTTATGTGTGTAACACACCCATATTAAATTAATTGATCTGGCCCTTTGAGGGTTAAACAGGAAACCCTTTATTATTCAGAGCTCAAGGGGGCGGCGTCCTTAATGATACAGAGAGGAGAGGTCACCTCTGGTGAGTGTTTGGCAGTGTTACCCCTTAGTTTGTGGGAATACCGCCATAGCAATACGCGCCCGCCGGGACTCATGCTGCCCTCTGACAGGAGCAGCGCCGACGGACGACATGACAGTCTTTTCTGCATCTTTAGAAATAATAAATGCAGGTCTTACTTCTTTTTCTACTTATTATACAGTTGCAAGAAAAAGTATGTGAACCCTTTGGAATGATATGGATTTCTGCACAAATTGGTCATAAAATGTGATCTGATCATCATCTAAGTCACAACAGACAATCACAGTCTGCTTAAACTAATAACACACAAAGAATGAAATGTTGCCATGTTTTTATTGAACACACCATGTAAACATTCACAGTGCAGGTGGAAAAAGTATGTGAACCCCTAGACTAATGACATCTCCAAGAGCTAATTGGAGTGAGATGTCAGCCAACTGGAGTCCAATCAATGAGATGAGATTGGAGGTGTTGGTTACAGCTGCCCTGCCCTATAAAAAAAAAACACACACCAGTTCTGGGTTTGCTTTTCACAAGAAGCATTGCCTGATGTGAATGATTCCTCACACAATAGAGCTCTCAGAAGACCTACGATTAAGAACTGTTGACTTGCATAAAGCTGGAAAGGGTTATAAAAGCCTTGCTGTTCATCAGTCCACGGTAAGACAAATTGTCTATAAATGGAGAAAGTTCAGCACTGCTGCTACTCTCCCTAGGAGTGGCCATCCTGTAAAGATGACTGCAAGAGCACAGCGCAGACTGCTCAATGAGGTGAAGAAGAATTCTAGAGTGTCAGCTAAAGACTTACAAAAGTCACTGGCAAATGTTAACATCCCTGTTAGCGAATCTACAATACGTAAAACACTAAACAAGAATGGATTTCATGGGAGGATACCACAGAGGAAGCCACTGCTGTCCAAACAAAACATTGCTGCACGTTTACAGTTTGCACAAGAGCACCTGGATGTTCCACAGCAGTACTGGCAAAATATTCTGTGGACAGATGAAACCAAAGTTGAGTTGTTTGGAAGAAACACACAATACTATGTGTGGCGAAAAAAAAGGCACAGCACACCAACATCAAAACCTCATCCCAACTGTGAAGTATGGTGGTGGGGGCATCATGGTTTGGGGCTGCTTTGCTGCGTCAGGGCCTGGACGGATTGCTATCATCGAAGGAAAAATGAATTCCCAAGTTTATCAAGACATTTTGCAGGAGAACTTAAGGCCATCTGTCTACCAGCTGAAGCTCAACAGAAGATGGATGTTGCAACAGGACAATGACCCAAAGCATAGAAGTAAATCAACAACAGAATGGCTTAAACAGAAGAAAATACGCCTTCTGAAGTGGCCCAGTCAGAGTCCTGACCTCAACCCGATTGAGATGCTGTGGCATGACCTCAAGAAAGCGATTCACACCAGACATCCCAAGAATATTGCTGAACTGAAACAGTTCTGTAAAGAGATACATACAATAGATGGTAAATCACACTTCTGGATATGTCTGTAAAAAATATATATAACACACACAATAGTGTAATACAGTTAGTATGACTAAATAGTGCAGATAGTAAATAGTGCAGAGTTTTCAAATGAGGTACTCACAAGCGTGGAGCCAGTAATATGTGGCTCGCACTGTTGTCGCCTTGGGACGTTTTTTAGAAGGATGTCCCTCTCCTAGCTGAATCACCGGTCTCACTTGATTTTCCAAAGATTCCAAAATGGATGAGTGTTCCCAGCGTTTCCCAGAGGAATAAAGCCTTTCAATGGGAAGTGTTTTGTGTGGCATGCATAGCCAACAAATTTATTCATGAAAATATATGTAAAAATACAATGTAAAATAGTAAAAAACTTAGATAAAAAAATACAACATATAAAATACTATATAAAAGGCTAGTAGCTATAGCTGCTGTATGAAAGTTCAACCAAATGGTTAATGATTGTTCCGATATGAAAGTTCAACCAAATGGTTAATGATTGTTCTGTAAAGAGGAATGGCCAAGAATTACTCCTGACCGTTGTGCACGTCTGATATGCAACTACAGGAAACGTTTGGTTGAAGTTATTGCTGCCAAAGGAGGTTCAACCAGTTATTAATCCAAGGGTTCACATACTTTTTCCACCTGCACTGTGAATGTTTACATGGTGTGTTCAATAAAAACATGGCAACATTTCATTCTTTGTGTGTTATTAGTTTAAGCAGACTGTGATTGTCTATTGTTGTGACTTAGATGCTGATCAGATCACATTTTATGACGAATTTGTGCAGAAATCCATATCATTCCAAAGGGTTCACATACTTTTTCTTGCAACTGTATTTATAATATATTGTATCTATAATACTTCTTATGTCATTGTTGGAAGACCTTAACATAACAAAACTGATTTTGGTCAGAATGGATTATATTAGAAATACCTTGTTTCAGTCTACTTGAAAGAATTGAGGCAAATAATTTAGAGTCTATTTTAAGTAAAGCAAAGGGTCTATAATTAACAATTTTGATTGAATGTCTCTGCCTATAAATTGGTATTCACTTTGAAAAAATACCTCAGAGCATATCTCCTCTACACAGAACTCATTAAAGATTGCAGTTAAATACTCAGAAATATTATTTTTAACTATTTTATGGAACATGCCTTCAAGACCACTAAGTCCAGGTGATTTGTGTTTTTTAGCCTCTAATGGCCTCTCCCACATCGTTTGTAAGAATCGGACTATTTAATAAGTTATTCATCTCTTAGTCAATCTTTGGAATGGAAGACTCTCTACATGTCCCTTGATTTTCTCCATAGGTGTTTCTGTAGGTAATGTTATGTGACATAGTATTTTCTAAATATGGTTCCGATTTCATCAGGGGACATATATATATATAGTCTCTGTCCAATATTTTGATTATACGATTATAGGCCTCTTTCTTTTTTAGTTTTTATGTAAGGGCTTTATCTGCCCTATATGTGGCATAATGCCTTTTTTGTTTTAATTGTATTTGTTAAGCAATTTCTCCCATTTAGTATAAGGGAAACATCTCCCAGTATCAGGTTAATTCTTGCATACGAACAGTGAGCCCAAAAGAAATGATGTGTAGTCTTCCTGTGTAGGGTGAAAAACCTTCCATAAAACATAAAGTTTAATTCTGTCAAAGCTGTAGCTGTTCTTATGATTCTATTATATAGTTTCTCACCTCTTTTTAAATTCTTATCTTTAGCCGTAGCTATCATACAATTGAAATCTCAGGCTATGATAAGTGTAACTTTCTCCACTTTATCAAATAGTCTAAATAATACAAGACATACAACGAAAAACTTTGGTTCTACAGTTGGACCAACACTACCTGACCCTGTAGAAGTATCCCTCCTACTAACAGGGACAATGTGTCTTACCCTCTAAAGACAACTTTGATGCAACTACTTAATTTAAACAATCTCTGTAATTTAAGCCTAAATCTACCTAAGTGGTTCCTGGTTATGTTAAACAGAATTATCTACGTCTATGTCTGTTAGTCCACCCAATGCACAGCGATACGAAATTTGTTGGCGCTTTATAAATGAATAATAATAATAATAATAATAATAATGCTATCTTACTAGTATGATCTATTTTATGTGGCAGAAGGAAGTGGTATAAATAAATAAACATTATGCATCGGTTCCAATCTTTCTGTTCAATATCAATCCAGTAAGAGAAACCATACGACCTCTTTCTTCGTTATCATTCTTCCTTCTTTTCATTTTCAAACATGCAAACCAATTATGTTAATACTTGTGTGTCCTTCATTCTATCATTTTGCATTTTTCCTTTTTTATCTCTTTCTCTCCTTTCTTCCTTTCCAATCTTCTCTCTTCGCCCATTCCTTCTTTTCATCTGCTTTCTTTTCCCATTCTTAAAAAAAAAATTTCCTTTGCTTTCCCTTCCCTTATTTATTCTATTTTTGTATGGCCTGTGGCCCATCTTTTATTTTCCAGGTACCTACTGTCCATTCTTTAATTCGCAGTTGCGTATGGACCATCCTTTATTTTGCAGGTGCCTGTGGCCCATCCTTAATTTTGCAGGTGTGTACTATCCATCCTTTATTTTGCAGTTGCGTACAGTCCATACTTTATTTTGCCGGTGCGTACTATCCATCCTTTATTTTGCAGTTGCGTACGGTCCATCCTTTATTTTGCAGTTGCGTACGGTCCATTCTTTATTTTGCAGTTGCGTACGGTCCATCCTTTATTTTGCAGTTGCGTACGGTCCATCCTTTATTTTGCCGGTGTGTACTATCCATCCTTTATTTTGCAGTTGCGTACGGTCCATACTTTATTTTGCAGTTGCGTATAGTCCATACTTTATTTTGCAGTTGCGTACGGTCCATCCTTTATTTTGCCGGTGCGTACTATCCATCCTTTATTTTGCAGTTGCGTACGGTCCATCCTTTATTTTGCAGTTGCGTACGGTCCATCCTTTATTTTGCCGGTGTGTACTATCCATCCTTTATTTTGCAGTTGTGTACGGTCCATACTTTATTTTGCAGTTGCGTATAGTCCATACTTTATTTTGCAGTTGCGTACGGTCCATCCTTTATTTTGCCGGTGTGTACTATCCATCCTTTTTTTTGCAGTTGCGTATAGTCCATACTTTATTTTGCAGGTGTGTACTATCCATCCTTTATTTTGCAGGTGTGTACTATCCATCCTTTATTTTGCAGGTGTGTACTATCCATCCTTTATTTTGCAGTTGCGTACGGTCCATTCTTTATTTTGCAGTTGCGTACGGTCACTATTTTGTATCACTCCCAATATTTCTGTGTTTAAGATCAGCCTTCATTTCAAAGTTTCCTTTTCTAATATTAAAATGCATAAAGTTACCTAAGTGCGTGCCATCTGTGTCCTTTATTATCTAGATTTTCTACTTTTTGGTCATTTCTCTTTCACTTTTCAGTTGTTTTTTATTTCTTTTTTAAATTCTAGTTGTTTTGAAGCTCTTCATGCATTGCAGGTTTTGACCCTAGTATACCCAGTTCATTATGTGTAGTTTCTGGGTCAGTTTCAGTAATGGTTGCAACTTCCATTGCTGAACAATTAAACAACATATCTGCCTTTTTGCCTTTTTCGTTCAAGCTCTTCCCTTTTTTTACTCACCATATTAATCTGGTCGTAGTTAGGTCACATTTTTCAGCCTTATCCTTTATATTCACATGTCAAGATGTCAGTATACTAAGTTTACCTTAGGCAAATATATCACAAACATAAAGACTACTCTATTCCTTTGTCTATTTAGCCATGCAATACTTGTACTTTATTGCATCCTTCAATCTGGTTCTTTCTCATCTGTTTATCTCCTAATCCCATACCTTCCGTTTCATTGTCAATTGGAATGAAATAATTATAATAATTGACCTTGTTCTTTTTCCTTTTAACCCTTTTAAAGGATGGGTATTTGTGGCGAAAGCCACTTCGCCACTGAGGTTTGGAGGGGACTGCTTGCCAGCCGTTTACCCGATGACTATGGCCCCTTTTATTTATTATGGTTATAAAAAAACTATTTGTACTTATTATGGCTCTGGACAATAATTATTTGAACTTTCGAAGCGGCACTTTGAACTCCCGAACTTCCGAAGCCATTTGAACTCCCGAACTTCCGAAGCCATTCAACCACGTGGTGGCGGCCTTCTTGCTCGCATGGACTAAAACCATGAATAGACTTCAGGGGGACTTATCCGTGAATGCCCTGGAACTATTTTCAAAAATGGAAATTCCTTGTATCTTCTTCACATATCCATAAAAAATACAATCTATAATGAAGGAAAGAACTTAAAAAAAACTTGAATAGCATAATAGAAAATGTAATGGGACATGGGTGATTTGATGTTCCACTCACAAAAAATATGCTTGTAGCAGGCACGTAAAGGTATCTTTATAGGACGTTAACCTTCTGTCCTTTTCTTTTATTCCATTGACCATATAGGGAAAAAAGGGAGAAAAGCAAATATAGTTGTGACGGCAGTCACCACCACAGGTGATGGAAGACAGACACTATGGGTGGGCTACCAAATTCATTTTGTGTTTTGTCACATTGTGCCTATTATTTGTGCAGGGTATGTTGAATGTATTGCTGGTCTCTGCATCTCCCCCTTTTTCCTGTCCTATTGTTTCCCCAGCAGGGTGTTGTCCCAGGGACACTGCCAGACCAGTTTAATCTAGCTGCTCTGTCCCTCCTCAATCTCCCATCACTGCCACCAATGTAATGGAGCTCCAGTACTCCAATAGAGTACCTCCGCCAAGTCTACTTCCTTGTAGCTATCAGGGACCCTGAAACACTTCAGACCCAGATACCGAGGCTTGACTGGGATCACTTAGGGCCTTTTCCACCCTGGACCAAACACCAGACGACACATGGTGAAGGTTAAACAGCAACTCTTTAATGACTACAGCACACATAGTTTAAGCCCCCAACAGCCTCATTTACATACAATAGGTTACATAGATTACTATAGTACAAGGAAGGGTGGGGTCAGACAATAGCAGGAGCTGATGGAAGATTGAGGAGGGACAGAGCAGCTAGTCTAAACTGGTCTGGCAGTGTCCCTGGGACAACGCCCTGCCGGGGAAACAATAGGACAGGAAAAAGGGGGAAGGGGGAGATGCACAGACCAGCAATACATTCAACATACCCTGCACAAATAATAGGCACAATGTGACGAAACACAAAAGGAATTTGGTAGCCCACCCATAGTGTCTGTCTTCCATCACCTGTGGTGGTGACTGCCGTCACAATAGTGTACCACTTTAAAAAGTAAAACACATTTTATTTTAAATTGCACACACAGCATGGATTATTTAGGCTTGTATATCATGATATGTGTATCCAGACCCAGGGTACGGTGTTATGAAGTCCTCTGTAGTCAGTAACCAGATAGCAGCTTGCAATCCACACAGATAAAATCAAATCAAATCTAAACAAAATAAATACAAAATACAAATAAATAAAAATTACAGTCACTATATTCTTCTCCCAGCCCTACGCGTTTCGTCCTTCAAACGGAATTCTTCAGGGGAATCTAGTAGTTATGTTGCTGGTCTCCGTCGGGATTCTTTTTAAATAGCCTATACACGCCTTCTCTAGCTGTTTTCCGCCAATCAAAATTTTCAGTTAGATTGAAATCCCCTGAAATCCTTTAGCTGACGCTTTGTGTCCCAAGCCTCAGTCAGTGTTGGATGTCTGTGACGTCTTCGGTTGCACCTTGGTTGCCCTTGCGTTTGGATAGCCCTGATCTGGGTGAACAACATATCCAAAAATCATCCAGATCAGAGCAAGGGTACAAAAGTTTTCTGGAAGTCTCTTTTGACCAACTGCAAGTATGGCTTAGTAGTTCCACAGATTTTGGCTATGCTGCCGGTCTATTTTCAATGTTAAAAGTGCACTATAGTACAAATAAGGGTGGGATCAGAAAATAGCAAGGGCTGATGTGAGATTGAGGAGGGACAAAGCAGCCAATTTAAACTGGTCTGGCAGTGTCCCTGGGACAACGCCCTGCTCGGGAAACAATAGGACAGGAAGAAGGGGGAGGGGAATAGGCACATTTTCCCATCTCTTTTTGCAGGGCCCATAGTCTTTGGGCAAAAGGCTGACCATTAGTCCTTTCCAAAAACCAGTGGCGAAATTGCTTTCGTCACAGACATCACAGACATCCAACACTGACTGAGGCTTGGGGCGCAAAGCGTCAGCTAAAGGATTTCAGGTGATTTCGATCTAACCGCCTGTTCCGATTGGCGGAAAGCAGCTAGAGAAGGCGCACATAGGATATTTTAAAAAAGTCCGTATGAAGGACAAAAAGCATAGGGCTGGGAGATTATAGTGACTGTAATTTTTATTTATTAGTTCTAATCACTAGCTCTTGTAAGAGCTGTTCCTGCTACGCTCTCTGAACTAGGAGAGAACTTTCCCACACGGTGGGAGGAAGGCAACGAGATCCCAGCTAAGCTACAGCGGTTGTGGCGTTTGCGGTGCTTGTGGTATCTGGTGCAGTGCTTACGGTCCTCAGCATCAGCTAGGAAGCATCTGTTGGCGGAGGTGCCCAGTCGAGGTGCCAAGTGTTCCGTCACAGTATTATTTGGTGAACTAAACATCTGTCTTTCCTCGTCATTGCTCACAAGAGTCTCCTTTCGTCTTCTTGCCTTACCTATTTGCTTCTCTCAGGTTTTGTCCAGTTTTGAGAGAACACAAGGGTGTCCTTTATTTTGCAGGCTGGTGGCTTGCTTAATAATCCTTTCTCTGCTTGTAAACCCCCTCCTTATTGTAGCTGTTGGCACTTGACCTTCTTTCACTGGGTCAGTTGAGAACCCGGAACACTCCCTCAACACGTCCTACGTCATCACAAAGGTAAGTGGTGTGTAGCTATGCCATTTAGTGTCTTGGGTTTCTCTTGTTCTTTACGGCTTTTACCCATTTGTAATACGTTTGAGTTTTGTAATTCCCTGTTTGTTAGTGCTATTATTTTCTTTTTCTGAAGTCACATAATGTTGCATTACAGATCAATGTGAGCTAAGCAGCAATATCTGCTCTTAATCAATATTCTGTCAAATTAATGCATTGTAACATGTTCAATTCTAAGACTTTCACTTCTCATTAGTAAAGGGGAGCTGTAATTTACGTCACAACACGTGTTATCCTTTTTTCATGAGCTGCTTTGTTTTCTTTAACCCCTTAATGACACAACTTATGGAATAAAAGGGAATCTTGACAGAATATTTCCGTCCTGTGTCCTTAACGGGTTAAAAATTGTATTAAAGATTTATCAAATGACAGAAGAATCCCGTTCAATCAGGGCAAAACTACGGCAAGCTTTGCAATAAAATGATTCATTGCTCCTTGTACTCTCTCTATGCTCACTGCCAGGATAGAAGGACTGATCTTATAACAATGATTGACAGGGAGTCAAGGTGTAGGTACCCTGTGCCAGGATGGAGAGGGGCACATTTCTCTCTTTAATGTTAATTTCCAGATGTCATAAACACATAGGGTCAGATTTATCAAAATTCTCTGTTCTAAAAGTGGTGCCAAACTATAAAATGGGAGGAGCCTGTGCTACCTGGCTACACTGGTTCCCATGGTGATTGCTCCACTTTCAGTACCGTAGACCCCTTTTTGAAACATAACACTTTATTATTAAATAGAGGGGATAAATATACATAACACTGAGAATCCTCGGAAGTGACAGATCTGCTTTTAGTTCATGGTTGGTGGAGATTAGTCCATTGTATCGTACATTATTTTTCACACTTGCTTTAATTTGTAAATTTATTTAATCTGATTGATGTGTTTTCTAGGTGGAGGGAGGCCAAGGAAGTGGAGATGATACAGCTTTGAATGGAATAGAGCTATTTTGTACAAGTGGTCCAACCACAGACACGACTCATTCAATCTCATCTACAGTTGGCCCGTGAGTTTATACATTTGTCTGTTTAAGTTTTACGTGTCTCTATCTATTTAATACTTAATTAAATACCAATACAGAGCTCCCAACTATCCTTCATTTGGCAGAAGAGTCCTTATATTTGGGTCTGCTCTCCTGATTTAGTTCTGCTCCATCAAAAGTAGCATAAAGACATGTTTAATGAGTTAAAGGGACAATCCATGACACACATATTTCATGGACTAAAGGAACAATCCACATTACGTTTATCTGCCCATGGTAAAAATGTAAAGCTCTAGTGGATTCCCTGGAGCTGTGGGTCGGGGTCCCGCTGGCTGCCTGGAAGGCCGTGCCGACCAACGGGAGGAGTGCCCATTTAAACTGGGTTTGCGCCATTCTCTTGATTGGTCAGCACTAGTGAGCACTGATTGGTAACTGCGGGGCACAGGTGACCGATCATAGAAGGAGCGCCAGTGCAAACGTTGTTTCGTGCCCTTTCTTCTGATTGGGCGTTGCATAGTTTAGGCGCGAAGTTTGAATCAACCGGACTAAACCAAGCAACTTCATGGAACTGATTTTGGGGATGTACAGAGCCTCAAGCCCCAGATTTATTACACTGATATCTTAGGCTCTGTACATCCGATAGCCCCGCTAGTTACAGGGATCCTAGATGGGATCCGGGGCTATCTAATGGTGTTTGTTTTATATGTGTAACCCCAGGGCGCAGAGCCCCTAAGAGCATCCCATATCTATAATGTGTTTTAAAATGCTGTTGGTATCTCCCAGAACGGGGGATGGCTATCTGTAACCCAGCCCCCTCCTACCTGGGATTTTGTTGTACTGAATGGAGACACCCTGCGGAGGTCTGTGCAGAAAAGAAGCCTGTTTTCAATAAAGATGGTGAGAGTTTGTACCTCCAGAACTGTGTGGCGTCCAGTTACTGGAGGGAAGGGAGATTTAAGCCCTGTGTCTGCTGTTCCAGCTTGCAGGGAATCCAGTGGGGAAAGTCCTTGTAAGGACTAAGAACTAGTTCCCCTATCCGTTTCCCGATTCCAGTTAGGAAGCAGTCCTTTGGCGGAGGTACCCAGCCGGTATACAGGGAGCTCCAGCAGTGTTTAATACAGAGGTGTGTTTGTATGTAGTGTTAATGTTTGAATGCAGGGGTATATTTGTGTGTAGTGTTGGTGTGATGTTGATATGTGTGTACATATACACATATACACACACTGACACATGTACAGATACACAGACACACAGCTGCACACACTGACACACATACACACTAACATGCATACAGATACACAGACACACATGTACATATATGCAAATACATAGACATACAGTCACATACAGATATAGACACACAGTGACACACATTCAGCTACACAGATACAAATACTGAGGTACATACAGATTCACAGATACAAACACACATACAGATACACAGATACAAACACTGGTACACATACATATACACAGACACACATACTGCAACACATACAGATACACATATACAGACACACACTTGCAGATACATAGGCACATAGCCAAACACAAATACACAGCTACACACACTGACAAACATGCAGATACATAGACACACAGATGCACAAACTTACACATATACAGACACACAGGTACACTCATGCAGATACAGAGACACACAGTAAAACACAAATACAGACACACTGACACACTTACAGATACAAAGATGCAAACACACATACAGATACACAGATACAAACACTGACACAAATACAGATATACACATGCAGATAGAAGGACACATACACAGATACACAGACGCACATACAAATTCACAGGCTGATACACAATAACAAACATGCAGGTCAAAATGTACACATTTTTAGCCACTCTCCTGTTTCCTACCTTTTGGGAGCAAGTGGCTCTCCTCTGCTGGCTGAGTATGTAGGAGTTAGGCGTTGGTTTTTCCAATATGTGACTCTCTCTTCTGTGCCTTCTCATCCGACCAGCATGGCTTATTATTATCTGTCAAGAAGTGAATGGCTTACACTTCCTTCCAGGACTGCCAATACATTATTACAGGGGTCCAGCGGACGACCAGGCCACTGAAGACACATGTTTATCAGGTGGCACTAAGTGCATGGGCCACCTGATGGGCCCCATCATCATGTAAATTTGATACACAGCACAAAATGTCTATTATCAAACTAAAAATATTGTGTATCAGCCTGTGTATCTGTATGTGTGTCTGTATTTGTATGTGTGTCGGTGTTTGTCTGTATCTGCGTGTGACTGTGTGTCTATCTATTTTATTCCAAAATTGTATTATATAAAAACCTGTCCATAAAACCAATTTGAACAGCTATATATATATATATATAGCATTCAGAAAGAAAAAGCAATAAACAGTCACTCAATAGAAGCGATTCGATTAGGTTTTGGAGACAGTCTATTTTTGTGAAACAGAGATAGTGTGAAGCCTTCTCAGGTAGGATGAGTTAGGAGCTTTGCTGATGAAACCCTTGGATAAACAGAGGAATGTTCGCTATATTCCTCTGGTATAGGAGAGCTGGTGGCAGAGAATCAGCAGGCCCAAGTTGAGGCCTTTGCTCGTGTCACGTGCGAGCTCAAGAGCAAGCATTGTTTTTACTGGAAAGGCAAATGCCTTGTTAATATTGTGATAGATACAGCACTGGCCCAGACACCATTGCATGGTAATAGTTCAAACTGACGTAATGAAGGGTGGCAGAGAGTGGCAGCTGTCTCCGGGCACTAGGAATAGAACTGCCGGGAGTGTTGCAGGATATGTCTCTCTCTCAGATAATGCTTACTTGTGGTTCTTGAGGATGCAGCTCAAAATATATATTTACTCAAACAAGCAGTGTGTTCCTCTCCACATACATACTGTGAGCGTAAAAGTGGAATTGTGGTTGATGGAAGATACATCAGGCCTGATTTGCTAAACAGCAACCTGAGAATTTTCAGTTAAATGCCCCAGGGAGAGATGTTAGAGTTTGCAATCTACATTGCTGAGGTTCTGCAAAACACGGTATGGGTCCCTGGCGCGGAATATTTGGAGAGCAGGGTGGGCCAATGCTCCAACAGCATTAGTTGCTGTGTAACAGACCACAATTTAGATCTGACTTACGAGTTAATTAATTGGCACTCACCTGTAGCTGGTCAATTAGTAGACAGGCCTTTAAAAGAAGAGAGTAGCCTGCTGCAGAGTGAGGGAGGAAAAGACGGCTAGGAGAGTGAATGACAATTGTGTTTATTGCAAAGCCATTTCTTTTGGAAAATTGGTAAGTGGGAAAGCCACCCAATTGCAGATAGTAATTCCTGTCTAGTAAGAGCTCAAGTAAGAGCAAGGGATTTTGTTTGTTTGTTATTATTTAAAGCACCTGTTTTCTTATTGAATAAAAAGGAAAACCGAGCTGAATGTGTCCTGGACTTTGTATACCCTAGAAGGCTGTGGTTACTGCAAGATCTGTGACAATCCTACAATACACACAAAGATAAACAGTTATATATGTTCCAAAGCGATCATACTCAAAGATACTTCCCACAACTGCAATTAGAGAAAATAGACAGCACAGTACATCTCTTAATGGATCAATAAGTTCTAAGGATAAGTTTTGTCATTTAAAAATGCTAAAACAATTATTCTGCATTTGGTTCTCTGGATAAACAATGTCTTCTTTCACAGATGGGGAAAATGGACTGTACCAATATGGTGCCGGAATGGCTTTCTCTGTAGATTTCAATTAAGAGTTGAAAAACCTGTGGGCAAGGAAGATGACACAGCGGCCAACAATATAAAATTTTGGTGCACTGATGGTAGTGAACTTGAAGGACAAGGACTAGATTGGGGAGAATATGGAACACCTAGCAGTACCTGCAGAAAAGGCATTTCTGGTATCGTGACCAGAGTGGAGCCATCACAAGGAAATGACGATGACACCGCTCTCAATGATGTCCAGTTTGAATGTGCTGAATATTAAAGTTTAAGCGTCACCAGATGTTATCAAAGTTATGGCTGCTCCAACACATTTCTCTGACAACATGAAACTGATGGTGGCTCGAGCTCCAATGTGGGGAAAAATCAAATAAACAATTCAGCATGAAAATAAAAATGTAATGTGTGTTTGTGAGTATTTATTAATTATTATAAGTAAAACTGCAATACAAGTCAGACTTGAAAATAATTTTTGTATTGCAATTTAGCATAAGGCTTAAGAAATCATTACAAAGTTTATATAAAGCTATATTTTTATGCCATATTCAGGGCCGGCGCTACCATAAGGCGGCACATGCAGCCGCCTTAGGGTGCTCTGGCAACGGGGAGCTCAAATATCCAGCTGACCGGCAGGGAAGAAGTGCACAGCACTCCTCTCTGGACAGTCATTTTACTCCAGCGTGGCCGAGCGCCAGTACCTCTGCAGCCCAGCGCAGGAGGAGAGGGCGCGCGAGGGAGCTCCGACCCAGATCCACATTTCCTGTATAGCTCCCTCGCGCACCCTGTAGAGGTCCTGGGAGCTGAAATATAACGTCATATTCCAGTTCCCAGGACCTCTACAGGGCGCACAAGGGAGCTATACAGGAAATGCGGATCTGGATCAGAGCTCCCTCAGAGGAGCACTGCAGCAGCCCACTTGACACCAGGTTACGGATCCTCTCCAGAAGGTATGGAGACTGGGTGGATTAAAGAGAGTGTGTGAGAGTGTGTGTGTCCATTACAAAACTGCCCCCGTTCCCTTACCCCCACAATTGCCGCAGTCCCCCATAATGCTTCACTACCCCGCAGAATACCACCCTTGCCCCCAACACTGTTCCCATCCCCCAGTACCCCACAATGCTACCCCCTATCCCTCCTACCACGATAGACCCTGTCCCCCACAATACTGTTCCCTTACCCCCACAATAGCCCCAGACACCCATAATGCTGCCCTGTCCCTCAAAACTGTTCCAATCCCCACAATGCTGCTCTACCTCCCACGATAAAGCTCCTGCCCCCATACTGTTCCTAAACCCCCGACATAGCCCCAGTCCCCCACAATACTGCCCCTGCCCCCTCACTAAAGCTCCGACCCCCCCACCATAACTCCAGATCCCACAATACTGTTCCTATCCCCTCACTAATACCCCAATCCCCTATAATACTGCCCCTCCCCCCTGACCATATTTGGTATTTAAGGTAAGAGGTTTTCTGCAGCTTCTGAGTACCAGTTGAAGAGAATCTAAGTTAAAGGGTTTCTCCAGCTACCATGACCACTTCTGTGATTTGAAGTGGTCATGGTGCCTGGAGTCTGTATGTGCCGTGTGGTTCGCTTTGAAACACTGCATGTACCAAGCTAAACCGCTTTGCAGTAGCCAGAGGTGTAATATCACCTGCAGCAATGTCATTAAAGGAACACTATAGTCACCTAAATTACCTTAGCTAAATAAAGCAGTTTTAGTGTATAGATCATTCCCCTGCAATTTCACTGCTCAATTCACTGTCATTTAGGAATTAAATCACTTTGTTTCTGTTTATGCAGCCCTAGCCACACCTCCCCTGGCTATGATTGACAGAGCCTGCATGAAAAAAAAACTGGTTTCACTTTCAAACAGATGTAATTTACCTTAAATAATTGTATCTCAATCTCTAAATTGAACTTTAATCACATACAGGAGGCTTTTGCAGGGTCTAGCAAGCTATTAACATAGCAGGGGATAAGAAAATCTTAATTAAACAGAACTTGCAATAAAGAAAGCCTAAATAGGGCTCTCTTTACAGGAAGTGTTTATGGAAGGCTGTGCAAGTCACATGCAGGGAGGTGTGACTAGGGTTCATAAACAAAGGGATCTAACTCCTAAATGGCAGAGGATTGAGCAGTGAGGCTGCAAGGCCATGTTCTATACACCAAAACTGCTTCATTAAGCTAAAGTTTTTCAGGTGACTATAGTGTCCCTTTAAGTCATCTACACCACCTGGATGGTTTAAAACAGATCTGTAGGGGAGATGGGGGCGATGTCGTAGCACGCCACTGCGTCCTTGTGGATGCGTGGCTGATGCAGTTCGGCGGGAGCCGAAAGAGGGAATCCTGCCGAAAATAGCAAGACGCCAGACAGCGGGACATGCCACTAAACCAGTGATGAAAGTGCCACTTAGCTTCAAAGAGCCAGATAGATTGCCTAGTACTTAAAGGAACACTATAGGGTTAGGGACACAAACATGTATTCCTGACTCTAAAGTCTAGCCCCCTTGATCCCCCTAAAACCTACCCTAACATAGTAAAATGTTACTTTTGTTCAAGTCTGCAGCTTGTGGCTCTCCCCCTGATCTGCCTGCTTGGCTGACATAATCAGAAGTGTTATTCTGAGCCAATCGCAATGCTTTCCCATAGGATTAGCTGAGTCTGTCAAGGAGGCAGATCAGGGGCAGAGCCAGCACAAGCCAAACACAGCCCTGGCCAATCAGCATCTCCTCATAGAGATGAATTGAATCAGACAGCCAACATTTTAAAGCTAAGTACAGCTCCCATTATACACACGCTTCCTTTTGTCTAAAGTGTATAAAATATGAAAAAACATTTTTATGTATATACCTCCAAATACTAATACTATACATACCAAGTCTATATGGATACTAAGATTTTAGCCTGAAATGTATCTACATCTGAGAAGGGTCCTACATCTAAAAAGGAGTTGCTTATGTGAAAACTCATAAAGGGTGCAAGCAGACTCTATTCATCTATTTGGTGCACACCTTAGTAAATCTGATTGGAGTTCGCAGACAGGAGATCAATTCAAATAACCCTGGCAAGTGATATAATCAATACAAGACCTCCTGTACCATCAGGAAGTAATTTCACTGTAAAAATATTAGAGTTTTCTTTATATTTTAAACAAGAGGGAAGATTGTGTTGTTGTTTTTTTCCTTTTTCCTTTTCCCCTCCCCTCTCCTTCCTTTGTTTTTGGCAAATCGCCCGTACAGTTGCTACGTCCCAGCACGGCTGATGACCAAATGTCGATGTTTGTAATGATGATACATAGAAAAGAATCAGAAATAAGGAGCACTAATAGTGCAATTCAATTGGAATAAAACAATGGTATAAAAAAACGCACTGACAAATACAGAGCCTTCCAATCTATTAGTGCCCCTTATTTCTATTTATCATTATTACGAACATCTAGTGCTGAGACCAAGCAACTATAATCCATAGTATATCCAAGACAAGAATTGTATTGTCAAAGGTTGGTCCACGTGAGCTAATTGGTAGCTCTACAACTGTGAGTGTATTTTCCGTTACCGAATTTTACACTCTCATTTTTTTTTTTTTGTGCTTTGCCATTCATATTCATCATGGTGTGTATTTGGAGAGAAGACAAGACTGTGGCTCAGAATTTTTTGTTAGAATTAATTAATAATCTATTTTAATATTTAACATCAATATTATAACAAAATTATTAGAATAGACATCAAGAAGGACTAAGACATATAGGGCACTAAAGAGTAGTAGCATGATGGTAAACACATAACTAGTACGGCTAAAGGGCCAAAGTTTTAACATAACTATAATAGGGACTGGAGGTCCGTGCTTTCTTTATACACTGGCGGTTGTGGTAGGTTTTTTGTTTTTTTGTGACCCTGGACATTTTTGGAAAGACTAGACTGAATGGGCCACTGAAACTAAAGGGGTAAGGAAAGGAAAAAATATATTTGATATTATTATTTTAAAGGGGAAATGGAAAAGGAAAAATGGCACAATATAAAAAGAGATAACAAATAAGCACTTTGTAATAGAGATATTAACTAAGTACAGAAAAGAAAGATTTATAAATAAAGAAAATAAAACACCTTTAGTGAGCAGAGATAGTACATATAGTTACACTTTCCTCTCAGATCACAGACACACATCACATATGTATGTAAATCTAAAGAAATGTCGGTATGATTTTGGGTGGCAGGAGAGCGAGGGATAAAAGTAGATTGAGGTCTTGTTCTGTTTTTCTCCTTCCCTCAGAAATATTTAATAGATTAACAGACATGGGGGATTTATAGAAAGGTTCGCTTTAAGAAGTTAACTCATGTAATAACCAAATGAAATCACATAAAATACCACATTGAGAAAGAGAAACAATAACCACGCACTTTGTGACACAGACACAAGCAAACTAAGGACAAAAGGGATTCACTTTTGAACACAAACAAGACAAAGATATTTAAGTAGGAGATTTAAGAGTAAAGTAGAGAGTAAAGAGTAAACACATAAGAATGATTATAAATATAAGTAAACATGAAAGTGGGAAGTTAGAAAGTTATAAAGAGGGATGGAATATTAGATAAGGTTAAAAAAAAAAGATAGAATCAATACTGAAGGTTAAAAAAATTAAAAGTGGAATCTCGTAAAGGTTCCAAAACATGTTGAAGCAGTAAAATATCACTGACATCTTGTGTACCCTACACTGTGCTGAAACAAATTTCATATGTTATTCAAAGACATTTAAGTATATTTGAGAATTGATCTAATCCTTGGTAATGTTATTTGGTTAAAATAGTCAATTCCTAACTGACAATCCCGCGATACAAAAAGCCGACACTTTCAGAGAACAGTGGCACGCAGACCTAAGCACACAGTTTACAGACATCCAATGGCAGAAAGCCATCACAGCCCATAGGGGGAGATCCAGATGCACATCACATCTGGAGCTCATGAGGAAATTGCAATATAGGTGGTACATGGTACCAGCCCGGTTAGCTACAATATATCCACAAACTTCTGAGGTATGCTGGAGATGTGGCCTGGAGAGGGGCACGATGCTCCACATATGGTGGACATGCAACCGGATAAAACCATATTGGCAAGAGGTAGAGGGGATCATCAAGAAAGCTTTACACTCTGACATAACATTGCAACCTGAAAACGGATTACTATTCATGTCATTAGAGACCTACAACAAGCCGCAAGCGGCATTACTGTTCCACATTCTCATTGCAGTGAACACACTGATAGCAAGGGCATGGAAACAAACCGAAAGACCCGTCTTAGATGATCTACTTAGGCAAATTTCCACCAACCTGATATATGAAACAAAGCTCACCACACAATATGGGGCATCTCCTCACATACTCCAAGCCAAAGAATGGTGG